GCAAAATATTTATATACCGACATCGCTATGCAAGATAATATATAAGGACCACAAAAGCGAATAAAATAAGCAGCATATGAACTCTTATAGGCCCTCTCGTCAAATGGTTAACGATAGTTGCTGACAACCGTAACCCGGCCAATTTTCACTCGTCCTGCTTCGGCAGTTCTGCTTCCCGCTGCTGACATCGTACGCATCCGTTAATTGGAAGGTTGTCGACTCGAACAATGTCTTACCGTGACAGGCCGCTTACTACGTGGGCGGAGAAAAAGAAGACGCAATAAATGTCCCCGTCTAACAACAACAAAGAATGAAATAAGGAAAGAAGGAAGGAAAGCAAGAGAGAGAAATAAATAAAGAAAGAAAAGGCGAGACGGTTTGCTCGTTTGTGCTTGTTTGGATCCATGCGGATATCCGCGCAGCTTCTGCATTTTTCACCCTTTGTTTCGCTGTCTGCGTCGATTCATCGCTTCAAATACGAGCAATGACAACGTTCCACCCGATTATTTCGGCCGGATCAATAGCTAAGTCTACGATAGGACCTGTCACAACCAAAACATCGCCAGATCACTCCTGCGTGGTAGGTTGGTGCCCCGAGATTTTATTTTTATTTTATTTAGTACATACTGCGAACCATATATGGTCCAAGCAAGAAGGGCACATCACATAAAAAAAACAGGAATAACATGCACCATACATAATGCAATTCAGTCTACTTAATTCACGATGAATGGGGATCACATATTTTGTTCCAATCAGACACTGTCTGTGGAAAGTAAGAATACATAAAGACGTCAGTTGTCGCGAAATATGGGGTAAGCAAATTGGGATGGTGATGTCGGGTCTGCCTAGTTGATAGGAAAAATAGATATGATGATAGATCAATGGCGAGTTTATTGTTAAGTAGCAAGAAAACGAAATCAAGCCGTTGTTTGAGTTTGCGCGAAGCAAGTGGCTGAATGCCGCTGGCAGTCATTAGTGCAGAAGGTGAATCAGATGCTAACTATTTGTTGTATATAAAACGAACTGCTTTCCTTTGAACCCGCTCAATTTTATCAATATTAAACTTAGTGTAAGGATCCCATACTGTGCTGGCTTCTTCTAATTTAGGCCTTACACAATAAAAATAACTAAGAAGCTTTACATTTGGAGGGCAGTTACGCAGTTTATGTCTTAAAAAGCCGAGTTTTCGGAGGGCAGCTGAACATACGTTGTCTATGTGGACGTTCCAAGATAAATTGTTAGTTATGGTCAAGCCCAAATATTTATAGCTAGTGACCTCTCTCAGGATTGACGGCCCTAGTGGTAGATATAGTTGGTAGATATAGATTTAACTGTGTTTGCACAGTAATTAAGGGTAGCTAGCTGGATTCCCAGAGAAGGCAATCGGGTCATGGGGAGACAGAAAGTTAGGTGGAAAGATGAGATTGAGAAGTTTGCGGGTATAAAATGGCAGCAGCAAGCACAGGACCGAGTTGGCTGGCGGAATATGGGAGAGATCTTTGTCCTGCAGTGGACGTAGTCAGGATGATGATGATGACAATGATGATGATGATGATGGTGATGATGCACAATAAATCACGATAACCTATATCCCGTGCATTATCTGCGAGTGACAGTGCGTTACTAATACCATGATGAATTGCATATAGAATTTTAATACATACGTCGGTTTGAGCGGATGACCGCATCTGGTGACCTCGCACGTGACAAGGGCAGAAGTCCAGTGGCAAGCGCTTTGTGGGTTTCGCCCATTCTATTTCGAACGCATGTATATTTATCGTTAAACAATAAGGTTATTTTTATTTTCTGTTATCTACTACTGCAAATCTTCGCTGATCAAAGTGGAAGAGAGAGAGAAAGAGTTCACAATTAACTTCATTGAAACAGCGCCCGCCCCTAAAATAAAAAAAAGTATGTACATACCATGAAGGCACACACACCACTTACAAAGATGTTTCATTAGGACCCTTTATGTACGATATTGTCGCGGCAGGAAATAAGTAGGCGAATGCGTTCTATTTGTGCACTGTCCCATCAAGAAAGAAAAGAAGAAGCAGTCTTTACGAATGATTGGTTTTTGCAAGCACTCCTTATCGGTATTCTTCTGATGAATATACCTTAGTAAACTGTCTCTCACAATGCGTTGTTCTGACGAAGTTCCAAGCTCGCGAAAGCACATCTAGCGAAAAAAAAATATAGCCTGCATGTTTTACTATTTCTTGGTTTTTTTATAGACGATAGTCTTTCTTGAGGACCTTCGACGGAAGCATTTTGGTCTGTCTGTCTGTCTGTCTGTCTGTCTGTCTGTCTGTCTGTCTGTCTGTCTGCCTGTCTGTCTGTCTGTCTGTCTGTCTGTCTGTCTGTCTGTCTGTCTGTCTGTCTGTCCGTCCGCCCGCCCGCCCTAACTATACCTCAAACGGCACCATACGGCCAACCCTATCCGCAGCGCCCACCAATATTGCTCAATGTTTAGTGTTCATAGTTGTGCGATTGTCCATTAAAAAAAAAAACAAATATTGCGCATATCTGAGGCGCCATAACAACATGTCTATGTTTTGTATGTTTGCCTTTATATTAGAAGAGGCACACACAAATAACTCTAGACTGTAGCGTTTATCGCGCTGCGCGGACAGTGCAACGCGATGCTCAAGAAGGTGTTTCCAACGCTTTGCTACGACGGCACGGTGGTGGCACTTCCCGTCGCTTTCCTTTCTACACCTTATCACATCCATGACTGGCGCGCATCTTTCTCCGTGGTCGCGCACGCCTTCGTTTTCGAAGATAACTGCCAGATAGCGCTCGTGTTTAACGTGCCTAGATGCGCTTGTTCGCCTCCGTTACACGCTCGAGGCACTCTAACGCAGCGTCTTCAGAATACCATTCAGCGATTTTCTTGCGCAGAACACCAAATAAAAGCTTTGTTCACTCTCTCCAGATGCAATACTATCGTCTTTCGACGACATTTACAGTGTAACATTTAGATTCGGGCCAATTTTTTGTTTTTCATTTTTACGTGAACAATGAAAGTCACAGCGTTACAAGGTATTGCATGTGCGAAACAGAACTCACGCACAACTATATGGCAAAAAAAAAAGGGTTACTTTCGTTCCTGAATAAACTGCTCATAACTGCCTACTTTGAGAACTAGTCTTCAATGTTTGTCTATGCAGTACAGCTTGACGAAGTTACGATTTCCGTGCAGTCAGCAACTGAAATCCACGAGAGAACTTGTAAGGAAAAGAAAAACGATTGAATCGCGCAATTCATGGCTTATCCATCCTGTATTTAGCATTGCACATAATTGTTAAAGCTTTTCCATTTGGTCAGAGGCACAGTTCCATTACAGATTAAGAGGTGGCAAGGCAAGCAAGTTGGTGCTGGTGTTCCTGTATATGAAGGAGCCACATACAGTAACTCTAACACCGTCGTGCTATGCCACCACCAATAGTGCTAATGCATATAGCTTCTAAAGTTTCTGTATGTCGAAGGGGTTCGGATGACCAATATTGTGTCCGAGGAGCCGGCAGCCGACAGCTATACCATGCACCAAGAGTGAAGGTGCTCATACGCGACAACGATAATGATGCACGACCAACACACGATGATGATGATAATGTACAGATGAAGGGGATGAGTATAAATGCTTATAATATCGCTTCTGATCGAACTAATTGATTGATTTGTGGGGTTTAACGTCCCAAAACCACCATATGGTTATGAGAGACGCCGTAGTGGAGGGCTCCGGAAATTTCGACCACCTGGGGTTCTTTAACGTGCACCCAAATCTGAGCACATGGGCCTACATTTCCGCCTCCATCTGAAATGCAGCCGCCGCAGCCGGGATACGAACCCACGACCTGCGGGTCAGCAGCCGAGTACCTTAGCCACTAGACCACCGCGGCGGGGCCTCTTCAATGTTTGTCTATGCAGTGCACCTAGACGAAGTTACGATATCCGTGCAATTAGCAACTGAAATACACGAGAGAACTCTTAAGAAAAAAAAACGATAGAATCGCGCAATGCATGGCTGATTCATCTTGTACTTAGCATTGCACATAATTGTGAAAGCTTTTTCGTTTGATCAGAGGCACAGTTCCATTACTGATTGAGAGGTGGCAAGGCAAGCAGGTTGGTGCTGGTGTTTCTGCATATGAAGGAGCCACATACAGTAACTCTAACACCGTCGTGCTATGCCACCACCAATAGTGTTAATGCATATAGCTTCTAAAGTTACTGTATATTGAAGGGATTTGGATGACCTATATTGGGTCCGAGGAGCCGGCAGCCGACAGCTATATACCATGAACCAAGAGTGAAGGTGCTCATACGCGACAACGATAATGATGCATGACCAACACACGATGATGATGATAATGTACAGATGAAGGGGATGGGTATAAATGCTCATAACATCGCTACTGATAGAACCATGTAAAGTTACTCTAGCCGGTGTCGAGCAAAAGAATGTCCTCCCTATAGCATCAGCGGCAGTAATCTGCTAAAGTATGCTTATTTTCATTACAATAACCTTTAGGGTTGTCGTGTGAACAAATGTAGGTGTTTTGTAATCACGCTCTCATGCTTGTGTCTGATTGCGTGTTGAAGCCTCCTAGACATCTGAAATACTGTTATTGTGTTGATATGTTTTGTGCGCGGATATAGGGGTATAAATGCTCATAACATCGTTACTGATCGAACTATGTAAAGTTACTCTAGCCGATGTCGTGCGGAGGAATGTCCTTCCTGCAGGAATAGACTTAATCGCTTGATCACGCTCGCGACTGGCTGATCTCCGCGGCAGCTTTTGCAGTGTTTCTTCAGTGTATTTTGTGTGAGCGGTGGAAGCGTGGGACGGTGGCACGCGAGACGGATGCTCACAAACTCATTCTTACATACACTGGAATTCACTGATGCATATCGTTAAATGCTCTTTTTTGTGCGCTGCACGATTAACTGCGATCACACGCGTCTGACTCGGTGTATCCTTTACGTCGTAGCCGAATGCCGAGTCCACTGGAGTTCTACAGCTACGTCCTGCACTACCACACGCTCATGTGCGGACCGCTGGTGTTCTTCAACGACTACATGGACTTCATCCGGGGAAAGCAGTTCTTGAGGCACACCGTCCGCACAGGCGTACGTATGCGCACCTGCGCGGTGTATGCGCGAAGATCGGCATGTAATGGGAACGAGAGCCCATGCGCACGATCAATCCTATTGGCGAGACTTCTTAGCGAATTTGTAACCTGTAGATAACCGGCACTCCTGAACTGTCAGTCAGTTTGCGAGCTCGACATTTGTGCTGCAGTGTACACTCAAGCAAAAAAAAAAACGATTAAGATTCGTTTGAATCCATTCGGTGGGTTCTTATTTGCCCTGTAATTGACTCTCTTTGCAGAAACATATGAACTGTCTTTGGCAACCACGGTACTTTCTCAGGAAAATCGTTGGACCCGAAAAAAAGTTGATGTGCCTCTTTAAAGAGAGTTTTAAAGGGACTTTAGGAGAATCTTTAAAGAGACTCTTATTTTTTCATTTTTTTGAGTGTTTGTGTCTGCTTTAAACTTCGCGGATAGCTGAAAAGAAAACACCGAATGAGGCAGGCAACTCTGACTAGACAGTTGTTGGTTTTACATTGATTGAAGGCAGTGTTACAAAATCGTGATAGTCGCATTCAAGGTTCGTGGGCACTAGCCAGTATTAACCAATTTTAGCTGTCACTCAGCCAATGATATATGATCAATGTTAGCCACTGGTAACGAGCGCTGGTAGTATGCGAGTATATGCAGTAGTCGAAGTCACTTGACTTTGACGCGCTCAATTGGTTCTCGCTGCCTACGGGATTAATGAGTACATTTTCGGACATAAATCGAAGTTCCCTGTTGCAGAATATGCGTGGAAGAGAATGCTTTTTCTTTGTTTTAAGTATAAGTATATAGGCAGCACGGGCTGCTCGATAGCTCGTAGAGTCAGCGCACAGTGTCACAGTGTATGCGTAACAAAAACTTCGTGCACTTAACCTGAATACTGTGGCGTACCACTTAACATGCCTTTAATACGGCCTGTAGAGCCGAGACGTGACCGATCACATTCAGGCTACAGAACAACCTCCAGATTTAGGATTGCTATAGTCGATGTAGGAAGTCTTTAGGGAATGCTAGTCATCTACTCAATGTACCGATGGCTCAATTGCAGTACTCAATTGGGGAAGTTCGTTTCACGTGGGTATTTAAATTAACGACAGCTCAACCTCTCACGACGTTGTAAATCAGTGTACGGCGAGTCGAGCTAAAACGTGTCTTGCCGTGCACGTATACGAAGGGGGTGTGCCACATAAGCAGCGACTGTGTATATACCATGGCTGCCGTGTAGGAAGTCTTTAGGGAATGCTAGTCATCTACTCAATGTACCGATGGCTCAATTGCAGTACTCAATTGGGGAAGTTCGTTTCACGTGGGTATTTAAATTAACGACAGCTCAACCTCTCACGACGTTGTAAATCAGTGTACGGCGGGTCGAGCTAAAACGTGTCTTGCCGTGCACGTATACGAAGGGGGTGTGCCACATAAGCAGCGACTGTGTATATACCGCGGCTGCCGTGTAGGAAGTCTTTAGGGAATGCTAGTCATCTACTCAATTTACCGATGGCTGAATTGCAATACTCAATTGGGAAGTTCGTTTCACGTGGATATTTAAATTAACGACAGGCTCAACCTCTACGACGTTGTAAATCAGTGTACGGCGGAGTCGAGCTAAAACGTGTCTTGCCGTGCACGTATACGAAGGGGGTGTGCCACATAAGCAGCGACTGTGTATATACCGCGGCTGCCGTGTAGGAAGTCTTTAGGGAATGCTAGTCATCTACTCAATGTACCGATGGCTCAATTGCAGTACTCAATTGGGGAAGTTCGTTTCACGTGGGTATTTAAATTAACGACGCTCAACCTCTCACGACGTTGTAAATCAGTGTACGGCGGGTCGAGCTAAAACGTGTCTTGCCGTGCACGTATACGAAGGGGGTGTGCCACATAAGCAGCGACTGTGTATATACCGCGGCTGCCGCCTCCTTCGCCACGCAATACCATATACACGTCAGATGTTAATGTATACCCCTACGAATAAATGTCGCCCTCATCAATCGCTTCTTGAAAAGTGCGGTTCTAGTGGCAGCTCATCTTCTTTCTAATTACTGTAATTATAGCTAAGGAAAAGGCAGATAGAACGCTACTTCACGCGACATAGATGCTCAATGTGTACTTCAATGCTTGAGACTAATCTATTTACTGTATATTACATTATTAAAACACTTAGTTAACCAATTGTACTCGCGTACTCTTTCCGAGTATATACTTCAACCTCGACCTGCACACTCCCGAGAGATTCAAACCATTGTTGCTTTTTTTTTTTATAGCTTAGCTGCGGGAAACCCCACGTCTGTTGTGGAGCCGTCGCCTAATGTAAGTGACATGTTCTCTTCATTTTTTTAAAGACACTATATACCGCAAGGGGCGTCTTTCACGTTCTTTGCGCATTGTTACTTCAGGCGTGTGGGTTATATGACTGGTCGTGGTGTTTCATTTAGTTGTGATCCGCTGCATGCAAGAGAGACAGATTTGGGTTAGTGTTTAGCAAACTGGCGAGCATAGAGGCTCTCAAACGTGCAATAATAAGAACGCCGACCACGCTGCAAGGATTGTTTTTCAAGTGAAGGTGCCTCGTGTATAGATACGGCAGCTTTAGAGAGGAGGTGATTCATGGACAGAGTGCGTGTACATTCCAAGACCCATATACGTGTAATAAATAGATAAAACATGTACTCAGCTTTGTGCCAGTAATGTTTATAGCTTTGTCGACACATTTTACAACAAATACGCCAGTTGCCCGTTTCGATTCGAGACGTCGGGACACCGCATTGATCAATCCCGTGTTGAGGACGTCAACCCCGCAAAAGCTGGCTGCGACAGTGTCCTGGAAGTGCTGTTCGTTTTTTTGTTTGTTTGTGGCGTCGTTGGCCAACTCACAAACACAAAAAAAAAGTGACGCGTAGTGCAATCAGTGTTATGTTTGTTTTTCTTTGTAAAGCAGGATACTATGGGGCAACGAGTCGAATAATTCACGCGTTCTGCTGCTCAGAGGTTCATTGAAAGGACACAGCTTTTCTTGCATCTGGAATGTTCTAGAGTACACTTTGAAGCCACTCTTAAGTAGCGACAAATGATAAACGTGTTTCCCTACTAATAACGCCGCCACGAAATAGATGAAGATTTAAGTACAGATATTATCCAAGATCGACGATCAGCAATAGCGGTGCGTATAATCGGCGTTGCATGGCCGTGACGGAAATATAAAACGGCCGGAACCGTCATACGCAATGTTCCCGTTCAAGAGGGGGAGCTGCAATACAAAATGTGAGTTGGGCTTAATAGCAAGGACACTGATTTCGCGAAAGCGGACCCTTCGAGCCATGCTGTGCTGTGCTGGAGCTTGGCACGACGTAAGAGAAGGGCTCAGGACGGCTTATAAGTCTCGTATAATTTTGATGGGGCTGTATGGTCACGTACGCGCAATAAATGCAGTTATAGGTCGAGCAATACCAGGCAGTTAAGCCGCCCTCATATTGCGCTTCTGCTACTGCTGCTGGCGCAGTGTGTGGTTTATACGTCGCCAGATTGGCGCTATGCGGAAGGGCAGCGGGCAGTTTGAGATTATAGTGCGAGTATACGCCAGACAGCACAATCACCAAAAGCATGGCTGTAGGCTCAGAAAGAGAGATAATAAACGTTCACTTTGGGGAAGTTCGTTTCACGTGGGTATTTAAATTAATGACGGCTCAACCTCTTACGACGTTGTAAATCAGTGTACGGCGGGTCGAGCTAAAACGTGTCTTGCCGTGCACGTATACGAAGGGGGTGTGCCACATAAGCAGCGACTGTGTATATACCGCGGCTGCCGTGTAGGAAGTCTTTAGGGAATGCTAGTCATCTACTCAATTTACCGATGGCTGAATTGCAATACTCAATTGGGGAAGTTCGTTTCACGTGGGTATTTAAATTAATGACGGCTCAACCTCTTACGACGTTGTAAATCAGTGTACGGCGGGTCGAGCTAAAACGTGTCTTGCCGTGCACGTATACGAAGGGGGTGTGCCACATAAGCAGCGACTGTGTATATACCGCGGCTGCCGTGTAGGAAGTCTTTAGGGAATGCTAGTCATCTACTCAATTTACCGATGGCTGAATTGCAATACTCAATTGGGGAAGATCGTTTCACGTGGGTATTTAAATTAATGACGGCTCAACCTCTTACGACGTTGTAAATCAGTGTACGGCGGGTCGAGCTAAAACGTGTCTTGCCGTGCACGTATACGAAGGGGGTGTGCCACATAAGCAGCGACTGTGTATATACCGCGGCTGCCGCTCCGTTCCGCCACGCAATACGCGTATACCCCGTGCACGATGTTAATGTATACCCTCGATAAATGTCGGCCTGTTCACGTCGATTCTTAAAAAAGTGCTGTTCGAGTGGCAGCTCAGCTTCTTTCTAATTACTGTAATTAGAGCTAAGGAAAAGGCAGATAGACGCTACTGCACGCGACAGAGATGCTCACTGTGTACGTTCATGCGTGGCTAATCTTTTACTGATTATATGACAGTAATTAAAACACTTAGTCAACCAATTGACTCGCGTACTCTTTCCGAGTATATACGTTCCAACCTCTCCCTGCACTTCCGAGAGATTCAAACTCATTGTTGCTTTTTTTTTTTCATCAATTCAGCTGCGGGGAAACCCCACGTCTGTTGTGGAGCCGTCGCCTAATGTAAGTGACATGTTCTCTCCATTTTTTAAAGACACTATATTCCGCAAGTGGCGTCTTTCACGTTCTTTGCGCATTGTTACTTCAGGCGTGTGGGTTATATGACCGGTTGTGTTGTTTCATTTAGTTGTGATCCGCTGCATGCAAGAGAGACAGGTTTGGGTTAGTGTTCAGCAAACTGGCGAGCATAGAGGCTCTCAAACGTGCAATAATAAGAACGCCGACCACGTTGCAAGGATTGTTTTTCAAGTGAAGGTGCCTCGTGTATAGATACGGCAGCTTTAGAGAGGAGGTGATTCATGGACAGAGTGCGTGTACATTCCAAGAGCCATATACGTGTAATGAATAGATAAAACATGTACTCAGCTTTATGCCAGTAATGTTTACAGCTTTGTCGACACATTTTACAACAAATACGCCAGTTGTCCGTTTCGATTCGAATCGTCGGGACATTGCATTGATCAACCCCGCGTTGAGCACGTCAACCCCGGAAAAGCTGGTAGTTTACCAGTTTCTTAATGACAGTGCGAAGTGAACAACGACAATGTCCTGAAAGCGCTGTTCGTTTTTTGTTTGTTTGTGGCGTCGTTGGCCAACTCACAAGCACACATAAAAAAGTGACGCGTAGTGCAATCAGTGTTATGTTTGTTTTTCTTTGTAAAGCAGGATACTATGGGGCAACGAGTCGAATAATTCACGCGTTCTGCTGCTCAAAGGTTCATCGAAAGGACACAGCTTTTCTTGCGTCTGGAATGCTCTAGAGTATACTTTGAAGCCACTCTTAAGTAGCGACAAATGATAAACGTGTTTTCCCACTAATAACGCCGGCACGAAATAGATGAAGATTTAAGTACAGATATTATCCAAGATCGACGATCAGCAATAGCGGTGCGTATAATTGGCGTTGCATGGCCGCGACGGAAATAAAACGGCCGGAACCGTCATGCGCAATGTTCCCGTTCAAGAGGGGGAGCTGCAATACAAAATGTGCGTTGGGCTTAATAGCAAGGACACTGATTTCGCGAAAGCCGACCCTTCGAGCCATGCTGTGCTGTGTTGGAGCTTGGCACGACGTAAGAGAAGGGCTCAGGACGGCTTATAAGTCTCGTATAATTTTTATGGGGCTGTATGGTCACGTACGCGCAATAAATGCAGTTATAAGTCGAGCAATACCAGGCAGTTAAGCCGCCCCCATATTGTGCTTCTGCTACTGCTGCTGGCGCAGTGTCGGTTTATACGTCGCCAAATCGGTGCTATGCGGAAGGGCAGCGGGCAGTTTTAGATTATAGTGCGAGGATACGCCAGACAGCACAATCACCAAAAGCATGGCTGTAGGCTCAGAAAGAGAGATAATAAACGTTCACTTTGAGCAAGCGCACAGGGCTAACAAAAACAAAATATGTCAGATGAATAAGTGGAATCGGTCGAGGAATCTTAGACATAAGCAAATGAAGACGTAAAATAATGACGTCAAGGAAGGCACAGGGAATTCTACTGGTAGCTTTTAATTGAACTGTACGGTAATTATATAGGGAAAAATCAAATGGACCATGCAAATGAGTTCTGTGGAATGCTGCATGGTAACGGTAGGGTTATGAATTAACTTGGGGTTGTGAATAGACTTCATGGTGTGAAATGCAGCGCATAAAGACGACACACTGAAGAGGAAGGACACAGGACAAGCACTGTATCCTCCCTCCTTTGTGAGTCGTCTGTATGCGCCGCATTTTACGTGATTAAGTTAAACCAACTCGCCTAGTTTTGTACGCTGTGAATATACATATATGTGTGTCATTAATATGTGGGGATGCTTGTGTGTGGGCTGTTTTACTTTTGCTCAGGATGGGTTATGAAAGAGATAATATACAAACACTAGAGTCACTGTCGTCATGAGTCCTTTAGAGTTGTTTGCTTGAGTCCTGTCCTTGTTGAAAAAAATAAAGTAAAGAAATAACAAGGAAATGGCGTAAACAGCGAGGACACAAACACGCGCGCGCACATCCATATATGCACACGCACGTAAGAACGCACGGTTACACATCGCAAACATGCACTCATTGCATTTCTATTACGCAAGTCGTTCTCCAATTAAATGCGTTGTCGAAATGTCAAAAGTTGCATTATGCAGGTATACATTTGCGCAGAACCGCATTGTCCGTCACACACGCGTTTATTATTTTTTTTGTAGGATCGGACAAATAAGACCTTGAGGGCCTCCGCACTGCTGTATACTATATATAGCTTGTTAATATGTTAGGCACGTCATTTCGTCATTGTAATGTAGTCGCTCTACAGTGACGATTCCCGTAAAAACGGTGCAGGTTGAAATCACGTATCGTAATTATATCCAAGAGCTATCTTGCCAGATGTCTGTTGGCACGTGGATTGATGTCGGAGCAGTTATAATGGAATGGTCCACGTCACACGCGTTGAGTCTGAAAGATGTGAAGGAAAAAAAAACAAAATGCTTCGGTGCAGACTGCTCGCATCAGTGTCTGCCAAAGAGCAGGCTAGACAATCTCTAAATCTCTAACCGTCAATATGTGATATGGTTGTGGCAATGGAGTTGCCAGGAGGTGGCACACCGGACTTGTGCACTCCCCCCCCCTCCCCCAATTTTTTTTTTGCCGTGACATACAAAGCGGAAAGTGACACTCGACCACATGCGCATGCCCAGCTTCCACTTCAAATCTGAAAAGTGCCCCCCTTGACCCACCCCCCACCCAACCCGTAAAGAGAGTCTGCCTGCTGCCCTGGCTTGCGGTTGTAGATTGTTCTCGCATTCATCACGCAGTTTTCTTTTTACTTGTGTTCAGTGGCAGTTTCTGCCCCGCCGCGGTGGTATAGTGGCTAAGATACTCGGCTGCTGACCCTCAGGTCGCGCGTTCGAATCCCGGCTGCGGCGGCTGCATTTCCGATGGAGGCGGAAATGTTGTAGGCCCCGTGTGCTCAGATTTGGGTGCACGTTAAAGAACCCCAGGTGGTCGAAATTCCCGGAGACCTCCACTACGGCGTCTCTCATAATCATATGGTGGTTTTGGGACGTTAAACCCCACATATCAATCAATCAGTGGCAGTTCCTGTGCAATGAGTTTTATGAGAACACGCAAGAATGAACGTTACATGATCTCCACACTATAAGAAAGATCACCCACAGGGCGCGGGTTCGAATCCCGGCTGCGGCGGCTGCATTTCCGATGGAGGCGGAAATGTTGTAGGCCCGTGTGCTCAGATTTGGGTGCACGTTAAAGAACCCCAGGTGGTCTAAATTTCCGGAGCCCTCCACTACGGCGTCTCTCATAATCATATAGTGGTTTTGGGACGTTAAACCCCACATATCAATCAACTATAAGAAAGATCGAGTAATCGAGTGAAAAGGATGTCTTTTTGTCCAATGACAATAATCATAACCCGCCTTGCTTGCGCTTCCTTTCTTGAAAAAGTCGGCACTGGCCGCCACTTTCCTATCGAGAAAGCTACATGTGACGCTGATAACGCGCATATCGTTCGTGACCTGAAAGTGCTGGGCGCGCGGTGATAGTGCAAGGAAAGGAACACAAGGGAGATGGTGATTATTGTTGTAGGACAAAAGGAGGCATTTTTCTACTCGGTCTTTCCTTCAAACGCCTTCTTATCATTTCTAGAATACATAAAATGCACGTCTTAACGAAATATGATGCCCGTGGTGCATAACTCGCGCGTACGTAAGCAAGCTCAGGCGTCCTTAGACTGCTAATCTCTCAATAAACTACCAATCAATATCTTCAATAATAGTGATCTCAAAATCTTTTTTTATTTGTGGCTTGGTTTACGGCTAAGTAATAAGCGCGAAGAAACGTACATTATTTTTCTGTTCTCATGAAGTTCACTACGCAGGAACTGCCGCTCAGCTCATAAGCAATCTTATTAGTGAAAACTCACCCGCCGCGATGGTCTAGTGGCTAAGGCACTCGGCTGCTGACCCGCAGGTCGCGGGATCGAATCCCGGCCGTGGCGGCCACATTTTCTATGGAGGCGAAAATGAGTGAAGCCCGTGTGCTTAGATTTACGTGCATGTTAAAGAAACACAGGTGGTCGAAATTTCCGGGGCCCTCCACTATGGCGTCTTTCATAATCATATAGTGGTTATGAGACGCTAAACTCCTAGAATTATTTATTAAAAAGAACTTTTTGAAAACTCGTACAAAAACCACAACAAAGTTTTATCAGTGAACTCAAGCATTTTTTTAAGTATCAGATGTCTGCTTCCTTAAGTTAGGAGACTGCTGTACTATAGGGAGTCAGATCCTAAATTTGTGACGCCAAGTGCCACTGGCATTACAACTGAAAATTACGGAATTGGTACTTTTTTCTTTTCTAGCAGTGTGCATGTACTTTTGGCGTACTGAAGTGATGTAAATACGAAGTAGCATTCAATAACTACGTTTCAAGCTACTTTTGGGAATTCAACGCTTTATGTTGCGTATACGCATACGATATCAGCGATGTCGCCGCATGCCACCGCAAAAAGGCCGATTCGGTGCCAATTCTCTGAAACATAATGCATTAAACATTAAGTTTTTATGCGGACTGCGATCATTTCCTTGCAGCCACTCTTCTCAAACATGCACAGTCGTGAACAATCCTCAGTGTATTCTGAAACAGCTTGATTGGCGTTAGCGCCATACAGCTTTGCGTTCTGTTACACATGCATGCCGACATACTATTCAAGGTTACCAAGGTATTTATCTCGGCAAGAGCTCCCAGCGGTTCCCAGCTGGCACCAATCAAAGTAGACACCGTCACGTATCGGAGCGTTCGTGTTGAGCTTGCTGACAAACGTGCGAGAAGCGCTGAAATGCGCGAAACAGGAAACGAAGCTGCCTAAGTGCCTCGCGGTGTTCTTGATTCAAGATAAATGACGACACTGAGTCTGGCGGGATAAGTGATCTCTGTAGCGTTTCGCCGAAATCAGCTTTGTATAGTGTTGGTCAGTGCTTTCTTTTGCGTTTGCATTCGTTTCCAGTGGGCGACGCTGCAGAAGCTTTTGATTAGCTTCACATGCGCCCTGAGCATCGTTTACCTGCTTTCTGCCTACCCTATCGAATACATAAAGCGTAAGTATTGAATAATTTATTACGCTCCTGACGTGTACGTATTCAGTTGTAGAGTGAAGGAATTAAGTTTCAGAAAGCTCATTTCTTTGTCTGGCACAACCTTAATGAATACCTACAGATTATTAAGACAAGGAAAGTATAGGGAACGTTAATTCATTGTAGCTGTTTTAAGTGTGGTATAATAATTGCGATCCAGATGTGAACAAAGTACAGCAGATGAAAAGACAACTTGTCTCCAGTAAGGATCTTACCTGCGACCATCGTCTACTTTCTTCACATTTATATCACAATCATTACACTGCACTTAAAACAGCACAATTAATTAACCTATACCTTGATTGGCTTTCTTACCTGCTGATTTTCATTCATTTCTACAGGTCACAAAACCGCTAACTATTGTTTTACTCTGCATGCTCTTAAACAAACGTTAGTATAAGTATTGTAGTTGTCCCTGTGTAAGTGCGGTAACAGTAGTGAGAGTTACAAATCTTTACATTTCGCATTGCGTCAGCTTTATCACTCGTAAAGATCTCCTATATATGCAATTCTTCAGGCTTCCCGTTCAGTACTGCTTAGGTTTGTTTATCGTCGACAAGTTTTTTTTATCTGCGTCACTAGTAAGTACTTTTCTTCAGACTCCGGAAACCCCGCGTATACAGGGAGGTCGACTTATGACAATATAGCAGTAATTCAAGGTGCGCACTGTCTACTCGTGCACACAGACTTACATTAGAGCATATGCAGCAAGTTCCCCAATGTTGAAGGGGCCTATACCCAGAACGTTTTTCGATCGCATTCTTTTCACCAGTGTATTTCAAAGTAACGTAATTAGCGCTTGCAGTGCAGACATCTAGATAATGCTGGCACATGGTGTTTCGTAGAGCAGGTCAGTCGATGCCCGTCACTTCTTCGGAAGCGTTTATCTATTTGCTGCCTTGTAGAAGCAGTGCACTGATTTAAAAAAAAGCAAAGAGGGTCAATGTGCAGAAAATGTTTGCCGTTATTTGACTTTGACTGCACGCATCAGTTAAGTGAGATACTATTTCGAAAGTGAAAATTGGCAAAACGATCTGCGCGTTCGTTGACTTGACACATGGGAGTCTTTCAGCAATAAGCTTCATCTGAGCCGTTCTATAGGGTGCTCGCAACCTAATTCGATACAATGCTCTGGAGAGAGCGATAATTATGTGCTTGTGTTCGCATATGGGACACAAGTTGTTTACGGTCCGCCTGAGTGGTATAATTGTTGTGGTGCCCGGCTTCTGACCCGAAAGTTACGGGTTTAATCCCTGCCGAGGTGGTTCCATTTTAGGCGGATGCACGATGCTAGAGGCCCGTGTGCTTTGTTATGTCAGTGCACGTTACAGAACAGTCGAAATTTTTGGACCCTTCCTCTATAATACGGCAAGACTCATAATCATAATACAGCTTTGACACGTAAAACAGCAGATATTACTATTATTATTAAGCTGTTAACGTCATATTAGACACCAACTATTATTTGTATCTGTGAATGCCGTCTGACGACTGGATGTTTCCCCCAAAGTGTTACTCAAAACAGAGGCCACGTTTCCTTACACTCCATCGCATTCCGCCGTGGGATATCAGCGTAGCGTATAATGTACCTTCTCTCGTGCGTCTCTCGCAGAGGATGCATTCTTTGAGAAGAGCAGGTTGTGGCAGCTGCTGTACATCATCTGGGCCACTTCGCTACACCGGCACCGGTACTACCACGCCTGGACTCTAGGTACACAGGTGACCCTCCGAGTGCGGCTCAATGGGCGCTTACGGTATCGCACACTGATTAGATAGAGCGCGGTTGCAGCTAGTATACGCCATTTGGCGCCTACCGTATATTCTGCTTTGTTTAGTTATCGTCGTGCCTGCCTGACTTTCTAAATTACTGAAAAGGACAGCACCATAGTGGTGGCGGCGACTGTCGTAAAACGGCTCAGGCGTCCTTTATAATTGGCGACGCATGTACTGAAGAAGAAACTGAAGTGACGCGCATTGATATTATTTTGCCGGATTTTGTACAGTGTAAAAAAAAGTGTGGGGCCGCAACATTCTTATGGCGATGGATTTCAGTCGGGATGATCATAAAGCATATTGTATGACTATGGTTGAATTTCAGCCGAACAGTGTGTTCAAAAAGCGATGATTTACATTGTGCGCGCACACAAATTCATTATTAGCAGTGCCTAGAAAACTAGAATCACTTCGGGGCTAGACCCAATACAGACAATTAGGTGGTAATGAGCGAAATAACCGTAATGCTTATGATCCTCATATGCACGAAGATCTGACAGGTTCGAGTGGTGCTCTTCATTCTACTGGTATCTGAGCGACCGCAGTGCCCGAATTTTCTCTGTTCCACCTCGTAGGAACAGTGGCTTCTGTGCTCGGCTGCAACCCCGAAGGTCGTGGGCTTGATTCCTGCCGAGGTGGTTGCATTTTAGACGTCAGTAAAGAGCGCCAAGTGGTCAAATTTTCCGGATCCTTCCACTACGGCGTCTCTCATAATGCTCTCGTGGTTTTGGGACGCGAAACCCCAGATATTACTGTTACTTTAGTATTTTCTCTAGTTATCACATTAGGTAAAAATTACGTACGAGGCGTGGAAGAATTAGCAGAATACACGTCGTGCTCTCACAGGTTGTAGATCACTGGCATGCAACTTTATAGATTGATGGAGTGGTCGGCTACTGCTCAATACCGTGATATTTATAAACGCGTAATCCAGGTCAACCTGTCGTCGTGGCCACTGCAAAACAGTTTTTGTACCTTATATGCTTCATTAGTATTGAACCAGTGGCGTGTGCATATTGAGAGGGCATGCCTTTTTATCTTTTTTTAAATGCGTAGGTGAAGCAATTTGTAATGCTGCTGGCTTCGGTTTCAACGGCTACACAAGTGATAACAAAGCGCGCTGGAACCTCATCAGCAACGTGGACATCGTTACTATCGAGGTACGCTTTAGCGACAGTATAGATTTGGTTATCTGTGTATCTATCTATTGTTATCTGTGTGACAATAATATTTACGCAGACATTCTAGCCCTCTGCCGGAATCGTTCCACACAATCGCGATTGTTTCGGGGCAAACAAAGGTGGTGTGCTATTTCTCGGCAGAGACCTGCAATTAGACATTTACTGTGGATTTTCTACACTGGCGCTATATAGTTCTTGAACGAGCAATTTTTACCCCCTCCAGACTGTTATTTTATACCGAGTATGAAACTATCGCAAACACTTTTTCTCCCAAGTTAAGCCCATTCAGTGGGGTGTGACGGAGACTGCAGTGTAGTTATACTCGTCAAGTTTTTTTTGAAAAAAATTATGGTGACAGTGACATTAGGTTTTTGTGCGCAAGCAGCATAATGAAGTGCATTAACGCGCATAACGTTTTCTCTATCTGTTATTTGTAACCAAATTTAACAATTTCTTTTTAAAATTTCACCTTTTTGCACGTGCACACGATGACTTTCGTCCATGCGTGAGTTGCGGAGAAAAACACAATAAAGTCAGACAACAGTGTATGTATTGAAACGCGTATATGAAGTTTGCTTTGTAAGCCACCTTTGTTTTATTATTCGTGGAAACCCCATAGTGTTATATAGTTTTGTTTTCCCTGTAGTACCAACGAACAATTTTGAACAGTTTATATAGGAAGGCTTAAGAAAAAGTGCGCGATACTTGCTCTCTAAAAGCAAGATGGTAAACAGTTTTTAGCACAATCTTTCTGAACGTTTACATTTTTTTTCCTAGTAAACTCATAACATAAGCTCTCACGCCTTCCTCGTGTATTTCATTTTTTTTTTTCACTAATAAGCTTCTTGTATGCAGGGCAGCCTAGGGGCTTTCAGCTTTCAACGGCGTCACGTTTCACAATAGTGAAACGCCTTTTCATGTCTACAAAAAAAAAAACGCATCGTCATGTTCGCCATAGTGAGTGGGGGGGAAGCAAATAATTTTAACATGTCTCTACAACAAATTCACCTTTATAAATGAGCATTATTTACGTCCCAGCAATACCTTTAGCGTAGTGATGCGCGACCTTTGTAACGAAGCGACGTGCATAGAAAAGCATGTTGAAGATCCCGACAATGATCCCGGCGATTGTCCTCGACATTCGCCGCCTTACAACGGTAGAATGATTTATCCTTGACTGTCAAAACTTCATCATTTTTTCATCAATTCAAATATGCCATTAAACTTCTTTATTTGCAAATGCAAGTTTACCCAATTCAACGTTTTGCTACTTGTATAGTTTCTTCGTTCTGATCATCACAATGCATTACTTGTGGTATAATTAGTTATTAATTGTTAGTTTTTTTTGCGAGTTCAGTGATGCTTTCTTTGTGGCAGCCCCGCCGCGGTGTTCTAGTGGCTAAGGTAGGTAGTCGGCTGCTGACTCGCAGATCGTGGGATCGAATCCCGGCTGCGGCGGCTGCATTTCCGATGAAGGCGAAAATGTTGTAGGCCCGTGTGCTCAGATTTGGGTGCACGTTAAAGAACCCCAGGTGGTCTAAATTTCCGGAGCCCTCCACTACGGCGTCTCTCATAATCATATGGTGGTTTTGGGACGTTAAACCCCACAAATCAATCAATCAATCAATCAATCAATCAATCAATCAATCAGTTTTTCTCAGTTATTGTACTTTGCCACTATGTTTCAATATATGTGCCTAACTATTAAATATTAGTTGTTCGCCTTCTCGCTGCTTTTATTTTTTTGGAATTCTGGGTCCCGCAGCCAGCAGTCTTCACCTACGGGACCCCCATGTGTACATTTTTCTGTATCCGCATCTTATTGTGTGAAAGAGTAATAAATGACTTCTACCTATTATTTAAAAACAAGTGAATCTGAGTCGCCGCTGTTTCGATCGATCGGCCACTCCCACACGCAGACATCCACGAGCCTACGCGAGCTGCTGATAGCGTGGAACAAGTCGACCCAGACGTGGCTGCGCACCGTGTCGTACGAGCGGGTGCACCGGCACCGCACCCAGCTGACGTTCATCCTGTCGGCCATGTGGCACGGCTTCTACCCGGGCTACTACCTTACCTTCGGCACCGGGACACTCTTCACGCTGGCTGCCCGTGCGGTGAGTGACCTGCAGTGTGCGCGCGCTTTCTCGCTCGATTCAAGCCAGTGACGTCGAGCTTGTGCTATAGAGCGGTCCCGGATAATACGATGACCCTCTTTATACAATGACTTCTTTAATAGAGTGCATACAGGATTATGTGTCACAACGCTCTTTCACACGCCTTTGGGCGCGTGAAGGAGCGTCGTGACGAATGAAAGGCGTCACTAGTGACCGCCGTTTGTTCACCGCGTCTCGGTACTGCCTATACAAGCTGCGTGCTTGCGAGATGCGCTCGTATCATTATGCTTTTATGCTAAACTTGACCGCTTACTGACATGCTTGAGTCTTACGCCTGCATCTTACCCCGGTATTCACAAACGCTCCTCGACATAGACCTTCACCCTTCACTTGACAAAGTTGAGCACTGCGCCGCTTCTCGGCTGAAAATGACGCTGCGCTGCTCGAGAATCGCACCACATTATCGCTGATATGCAGTGACTTGCCTGGCCTAGGCGAGGGCGCTTCAATCGGCTTTCTCAAGTGAAGGTGAAACGTTGAGTGAAGGTACGTTCTAGAATACGGGGGTTAGCATCATTCATAACAAGATATATATGTGTGATACTTCACATAAAATGCCGGGAAAATAAATGTTCTGAACAGAGACGTCTTACTTTTCTCAGTGCTGGTTCACATGCGTGAGTGGCATCAAGGCCTACTAAGCAAGAAGCGCTAAGACAATGAAAGCACTTGCCCGAAATAGACAGCCTCGCAGGTGAATCGGCATGCCTGACATCGACAGCGTCGTCACTCTACACCGTGACGTGTAATGCGTTTAGGCGCGACGAATGCGCTCAGGAAATGCGTGCAAATACATAGCAGCGTCAAAACTGCCAACAAGCCAATGCGCGCACTCGAGGACCTCTTGTTGGTATTGCAGTGTGCTTGAATGGGGTATGGCGTATGTAGGGGCCTCTGCAGAAGCTTCCTTACGAAGAGGCGTATTTCGATACTCTATGCAGTAAACAGCTTACACCGGTTTCCACGTAACGCGTGTTACTGTGTCGCTGGTGCGTTCGCAGGTGCGCCGTAGTGTGCGACCCATGTTCCAGGGCGACAGGAAGAAGCAAAAGTTCTACGATCTTGTCACCTGCCTGGCGACGCGCATCGCCGTCGCCTACATGGTGTTTCCCTTTCTTCTACTAGATTTTCACTCCAGCGTCAGGGTTTACCGGTGAGTATGCGATTAACTATAAGTAATGTGGTCGTAAAGTCAATACATATGTGTAACAAGTAATATCTCACAAGGAAAACATGCATTTTTATAGGGTGTTAAGTTTTATAGGGTGTTAAGATGTATGCCCCTCGCATTTTCCGTAAACTAGCCGATTTTTTTTGGAAATATACTTTACGTCTCTTCGTAAGATGCTTGTTCGGGCTAGTTGTTCCTCCATTAAACTGTTAAGTATACATTTCAGGGGCGTAAAAAATCGCTACACTATATAGGAAATGTAATTCGTACATTTTATCCTAAAGAAAAAAGACATTGTGGCGCTGGCTAGTCATTGTGTAGAAGTCGCCCGACTCATGCAGTGCATTGGTGTAGAGAGTATTTCGTCTGGGGGGAGGGTAGGGGCGCCCTCCTCCCTCCCCAACCTCATTTTGAAATTTCTCCGGTTGAGCTTGAGTGGGAGTTGCCAAAGTGGCATATGGGAGGAAGGAGGTCAAGTAGTCTCTTTGCACAGCCCCCCCCCCCCCCTGCCAATCATGATGCGATGGCGACCTAATTGAACATGGCAAGAAAAAACTGACTTGAAAATGCTTTTCGGTGTTCTCACATTTAGTCACGTTACCCACACTCCATTCCCATTCGATGAGGACACAGTTTTAAAAACGCTGCCAGTCTTGACTGAGCTGTAGGGTTGATTTGCGACGTATGCGGTCTATTTAAAGCCTTCATTGTTCGTCAAACCGGCGCCCTTACCTGCGGTTTCCAACGACGTCGCCTTCTGTGCGCAGCCACTTCGGATTCGTGGGCCACTTTCTGTGCCTGCTGGCCATCTACGTGCTGCCCCGGGTGTTGCCGCCTCCGCCGCGGTCGCCGCCCAAGGGTTGGATGTCGCCCGCAACGGCGGAGAGGACGCCCGAGGGAAGCCCGGGCGCGAACAGCCCGTCGGACGAGAGACAGCCGCCGCCCCTCAAGCACGACTCCGAAGCGTTGGTTCCGGACTTCGAGTCGGACGAGGACACGCTGTCGGTCGTCTCGAACGTCGACGTCGGATCCAGGAGCTCTCAGACGTCGCTGGCCTCGGTCAACAACGTGGCGGCGACGGCGGCCCTTCCCGACTCGACCAAGCCGCAGCCGCCTGGCGACGATAAGAAGACACAGTAGAACTGCCTTAGCCGCGCACACGCTTATTTGTTTTCCCAAGAAGCGCGCATGCCTCGAGAGTGAAGAGAACAAGAGACAAAAGAAAAGACCAGTGCGGCATCCGATATGCTATTCGAACGTGCGAAGTGTCGTGGATCCTGAAATTAGCCGTGCACTCGACGTTCGCTTAGGTGTAACAAAGCCAACGGTGACTGTACGAACGGAAGCGAACGCTGCTGCGCCTTCATCTATAGCCGACATGTTGCACTGCGTGCGAGATTGCGTTGACGTTCCTGTTACAGGACTATACGTATACGGCGCGCCATTGTTGCAGTGTGTTAAGTAACAGCGGTGTGTCTGCTGTGGCCGTTTTTGAGGAGCCAGCGGTAGAACACATTGCGTTGAACGCGAAAAACAGCACAAAAAGTTGCAGATCGGAAGCAACAAATTAGTCCTCATATTCAGTGATAATAACTAACGTGTGTACTGACAACGAAGCCGCGGGTATAAAAGATAGACAATGGACGAAATTTGACAGTCACGCTCGGATCTTGCGAGTCATTTTCCGAGGACTTGCGCAACACGCATTCGCTTTTCTTAAGTGTTTCGACTTATCTTTCGCGCTGAATAATCAAGTTCCAATGCGTCGCGCTTGTAGTACGGGTGCGTGTATAACGAAATCATTCATTAATACCCACAATTTAACGCCTGTAGCACATTGGAGGCCGTACTGTTTTGTTTTCCACAAGGTAGGTCTTCGTACTACGCAGTGAGAAAAAGGCGTTGTCAGCCTGCGTGGCATGTATATGTTAAATTTATTTGAACGAAATGAGTGTGCGAATGTCGTCACATTGGTCCTGTCGCTGTGGATGGACATTCCAAGCTTCTGACGTGATTTTGATGCGACTTTCATCAGGCGTCACGCGTGTTCTGTCTTAATGTGTTGTTGAAATATTTCGCCGTGTGTTGAGCCTGCCACTTAGTCGGTGCCACAAAACACGGGTCAAGTCCCCGCGTGAGGAAGCACGTGATCTGCGTCAGTCAAAGCTGACCTTTTTTACTTTTTCCGCATGGATCGAATTTTTTATGGCTGTTGTTTTTTTGTGTAGACCATTTTCTGCAGGCTTCAACTACAGATATTGTTCTCACGTTCGTTGTACTTACACAAGACGACAACCGCGATCTTTCTGGCACACCGATTGGAGCTGGCATGCTTCGAACAGATAGATTAACTCGTTAACCTTGTATGATTGAATGAAGAACTGAGCGAAAATTTCTTGAAAGGGTGTTCATAACGTTGCATGTTGAGGGTGTGACTAATCATGGTTCAACACTGGATGGCTATCTTGTGATGAAGTGGGACAGTTCTGAACGCACATCCGAGTGGGCTGGAACGTGGCTGGTAAGACCTGTCCACAAAGAAGGCATCGAGGAGCTAAAAGGGGCAAGATGGAATGCCGTGCACTGAAAGTTTTGCTTTTTGACCTGCTTAATTGGTGCACGCTTGGATCTGTTTTAATCGTTGTGCTGCAATGGTTTTTGTTTCACTCATTTATTGTTTGTATATCTTATTTCACTTTGCTTCATGCGCATAGCCGCACTTATCATATGGAACTTTTCACATGAAGTGTTTAGTGGGATAGAGGATATATATACTTTTTTCTTTGACTTGAATGTCATGTTCAGAATTTTGAAGATTTATAGACCCGCAAGACCTTCATGTTATGCCCAGGCAAACTTCACATCTGTTCCTGAATGCAAATTTGCTTTGGTGATCAATTTCACACAAAGGCGACTGTGCGAACAAGTTTGCTTGTTCATTAGGGCAATGTGAAGGTCGTTAATTCACACTTAACTTCAGGGCGCAAAATGAACTCTTCATGGGGATAACTGCACTGGCTGTTCAGTGTGTTGACCACGGTGGTCGATGATGAGGTATCGCAACACCCTGCAGACACTAGACCAGACCGTGACACAAGACAGTGAGGTCAGTATGACGTCACGCAACATGACGTCATATGATGACGTCATCACAAGAGAGTCGTTTGGTCAAACGTGGGCCGATCTCGGAGGCAGTGCTAGAACACCATGTTAGGTGCGGAAAAGCTGCGATGCCTTCGTGCATAGAAAGCTTCCGGGGAGGTGGAGGGATCGATACAGTCGACTGAGAAGAAGCAGAAGGAGAAGATGGCCTTGGCGTCGCGTTAGGCAAATAGATAAGGGTCCACGTGACCTTGGTGCAGTTTCGCTTCCTGGTTAACGCAGTTATGGCTTGTGCAAAACTCGAGCACTTTCGCTGGGATTCCTCGTCTTCATCGATTGATTGACTGTCACCGAATTCATTGCGTTCTTCCCGTTAGTGCGTTGTACTTGAGTGTTTAACTGGATGTTGGTGCTGTTCGGGTCTTGGGTGTAGTTTCTGTGTGAATTGAATATTGTTGCGAGGAAGTTGTACTATATAGCGTTGTCGTTGTTGAACAAATGCGAATCGACGTGTATCCTGTAAACGACAACGTAGCTAAACGGACCATCATTAGCTTTAGTCGTGCCTGATTGGTTCTTAGAAGAAAATGCATCAAATTTCACAACAGAAAGGAATGGTCAGAATAAAAAAAAGGGGGGGGGGGGCAAGCCAGTTTGATAATCTCACGACCATTAAACTTAAATAGAATTCACGCGAGATGCTGTGCCTTGTTCGTATCAAATGACTGTGACACGCACGCATTCGACTTTCGTGACCGATAGACAGCGACTTCAACCAAGATGGTGCCCGCAATCATTGCCTTTCTTATCCGCGAGTTCGATGTGAGCGCCAATTTACTTAGACTCCTAGCATCCACTGCGCATGACAACCACGTGACGATGCACGTGGCGCGAAGTGTTCCCTTCCAACGATATATTTTATGGGCTTCTGAACTTACACAAAGAAATGACCATCTGGAAAGATTACACTGGTTCAGTATAGCCTCGTCCAAATTTGAAGTTCCAATAAGCTCTCTCCAAATCGGACTCACCTCGTTTCGGTCTCCCAATATACGAAGTCCGAATTTCAAGTCAGTCGCGCTAAGCTACGTCGCCGTACTGGTTTAGCGCTTCCTTATTATCTCTTGTTCACACGACGACGCTAACGCAAGGAGGCAGTAATAGCCATCTGCCTAAGGGCTTACGACCGGTGATCTCTCACACGCGGGTGAGGGTGGTGCGGCAATTTATTGGTTTTTTTTTCGTTCTTGTCGCCCAAAGCCTTGGGGAGAGCAAGATGGTACTATACAAAAATGAGAAGTGGTCGAGAAGCTGCGTCCACTTCCGAGCTTATACGCGCTTGCTGCGTTAGCCCACGTACCTGTCCCACCTGGCTTGCCTAATTGATTGAAAAAATTGATAAATCTTTTCTTTGGAAAAGGGAGGACCTGAGGTCACTGATGGGAGAGTGGAGGCGGGGGAGGGGTGATAGGCACACACTAAATCACGCTCGCCAAGCCGCTTCTTCCGAAATGGGCTAATGTGGCCAACTGATGAGGGTTCTCGAGAGTGTCCTTTTGTACCGCTTCCAAATCGGGATGTAGGAAAATCGCGTTGATCTTGTGATAATGATGTGGAGCCGGGCAATGTAGAACGAGGTGCTTCATGTTGGCCATGCATGTAGAGTATAGCAAAAGGTACATATGCGGGGGATAAAAGAGTCCTAATGGAGTTAAAAATCTCACAGCCATGCAGACATGATGCGGCGCGTCGCGTTTCGTTTGGTTGTGCGAGGCGGTTGTTCGTGAATGTTGTTAGCTTGGTAGGTGTCGTATAAACCGATTCAGAGCCGGGTGCCGTGTCGTAGAAGTTGTAAAACAACAGATTGCATATTTCTGGAGCCTCCACCGCTTGTTCTAACTGAACGTAAATTCATGGGCCTTGTCTATGTATATCGTTTATGGCACGCTACTAGTACTGAAATTTTAAGCGCATTTCTCGGGGCAGTGATTGAAGGTGTATTCCCATCGGAAATGTGACAATGGCGCTCCTATCCGATAGCTGCTGCGTTCACAGTGTATGCAACTGTAACATCGTTAGTTCGAGCGATATTGGCTCGCATTGGAACTTTCAGTGCATGTGTGTGACGCGCATTTCTCGGGGCAGTTATTAAAGGCGTATTTCTATTGTAACTGTAAAAATGGCGCTCCTTTGGGATAGCTGCTGCGTTTTAAGTGTATGTAACTCTAATATTGTTCATCCGAGCGATGTTGGCTCGCGTTGGAACTTTCAATGCATGTGTCGAAGGTTGGCATCACTAAGCGAGGAGTTACGGCAAGCTACATGTGCGGTGCTGCACTAACACGGCTATGCGAGCAATGTATAGGTACGTGTTCACTGTACCGAGAGACAACTGGTAGTAGACCAGTTTGTTTCGACGCTTTTCCCCAGAAAAAAAAAAAAACTAACAGATATAGCTCCTGGTTTGATGGACGTGATGTTTCACTGTTGTTACGTGCCGTGCACGCTACCGAGAGGGTGATTTTGAATGTCGGTGGCGGATAAATATTGTTCGATCGCTTCGACGGGAGATACAAGTCTAGTCCGTGATGTTGTGAAAGAAACGTATGCTTTTTTTGTTGTTGTTTTTTTTTGGACGCACCCTGGAACAGGGTTGAGGGGAGACTGTGTGTGTTGTTAACGCACCGCTGTTATGGAGTAACTGCAACGCAGAAAAAAAAATATACACGAGAGAATATATATATATATATACAAGCGCGCAATGTTTGTGACCGTGAACACTGAGCGCGTTGGCTGTGGTACTTGTTTGTTTTCTTTTTTTAATACCGAGGTGTTTGTATTTTGTGTTGAAAAAAAAACTGAAGTAAAATTGTTATAACAAAGACCGTATATCTGTGGTGCTTCGTCGACCACCGGCATATGTGAGGGTGAAATATATACCCACATTGTGTCGTAAGCTGCCCGCGCTCACAACCATGCTACAGATTCAAGGTTCAAAACGGGCCATCAATCGCCTGACGTTTGTTTTTCATGCCTATGCAAAACTTGTGGCAGTCTTCCTACCTCGTGCACTTGCTGGCCACCCATAAACTATATGCTGACGACGCTGTGCGCAGCAAGGAGCTGCTCAGCACGAGAACAGGGCGCGTGGTCGGCACAAAATACAGGCCTTCGTTAAAGCCTAACTGCTTTAGAGTGCCTTTTTATCTGCTTCGCTCTTTTTTTTTCACATTTCATCAACATTGCAAATTCTCGAGTGCTGCACAGCTTGTTTTCTTTGTCGTATGAGAGCGTTTTTCTTGGTTTTTTCACTCTGGTTAATGTTTATCATGTATAATTATCGTGACTTCTGCAGCAGATATATTTGCATGAAAGCAATAATGAGAGCCCTAATTAGCCCCATTTGTTACTTTTTCTTATGACAAACGAGTAAAAAAAACGAAATGCATTTATACTAGAATTTGAAGTTGTACCACACAGAGCCAAAATATGAAAAATATGAAGGATGTATAGTGCCAGTGCCTCCTTTATAAACTTTCAGTGCCCGGTAAAAGCGGAAGAGAACAATGGGACTACTCTGTCAGCGCGAGTGCGGCGCCTCGACACCAGGTGCTGCCGCCTAAACAGGGTGCCGGAGTTCGCTACGTGCCGCAGCCGCCGTGTTTCTGGCTCCGCGCTGAAAAGTAAACAGATTAAATCCTTAATGTTCTGCTCTCAAACCTCAATATATCGCGGCTGTAATCGCTGAATTATGTTATCGAGTGTTTGAGAGATCTGGTTGCCAGCTTTCACGCACTAGCCGCAAGCGAAGAACGCCACGCTAAATGAATACCAAAAACATGCCGTGTACGCACGCACCTACATGCTTGGACATGATGTACATGAATTTCCAACGTTGACTTGCCATGCGTAGCAGCTCTATATTCTGCAAAATGAACCCAATTGATGCGATACGAATACATTTTGAAGAAAGAAGGAACATTTATTTGTAAGTACCTCTATTTTCGGTAGCCTCACAGTTTTGCATATTTTCTTGACAGGGGCTTTTTCGCGAAGTACTTGAAAGCATCATGCTTGTCGCTGACAGTGAATGCATAGTTCACCAGCAGAGGCCGCAAAAATCGAACAGATATCAGCTCCATGAGCTTAGCTCTGTGATTGTCATCCATCTCCTTGCACTTGAACAGGTTTGAAGCACACAGTGCCGGCACAGCATACTTAACCAGAGTAGACAATGAATTTTTTAGAGTCGGATTGTCCTTCAGAGCACGATCCGCAAATACCCTTAGCACGTCAACGGCAAACAGCAACTGGTCTGACGGGTAAAGTAGCCCACCTCAGTCCTGGCTGCGGGTGAACTGCAAGATAGGTTGATTGCTCGATGGCTTTGTGCAGACTGCAGTGCAACTTCCACAACACATGTGCTCGTTTATGACGCGGGCAATATAGCCCCTAACATAAACAGTTGCGGAAATCTCAAGTGACGGCAAGTGCTGAGGCAAGACTGTTGCATTGAGCCGTTGCAAAACACATGCAGCTCTCTGTAGCTGAGGCAGCTGCTGTGTTAGCGAAGGAGAAGCTTCAGTGAGCAGTGTGCCTGTTGACATTTGGGCACATTCTCTGTGTGCAACGTTTGATGCCATGCTGGATGCGGCAAGTCCAGTTTTTAAAACCTTCTCCAGCCCTTGCAAAACAGAACGAACATTCAGCATGTCATTGCAGCCAGAGGACATCCGCAGTGTTCCAAACAGCGACTCGATGGGGTCACTATTAAACTTACGCGTGAGCACAAACAAGAACGTCTCCTCTGTGAGCAGGTACTTGATACAGGCAACTGTGGAGTATGTTGTCAGGAGGACTGCTTCATACGTTTCTTTCGTCAAAAATTCCTTTTGACTTCGACAGCTTTTTTCCAGTTCATCCAAGTACATGGGTAGCGTGACCTCGAGCCACTCCCGTCTTGCATCTTTAGCATCGTCAAACTGCCGAGTGTCAGGCCACTTTTTGTGGATGTGCTGGGTCGTATTGCTTGTATCATGCAGCACGAACCATCGATAGATGTTTTGCATGAAAACGATGGTCTGGCCTGCAGCTGCGAATGATACACTCGATGTTTGCCCAGCTTGGTCTCTGAGATGCTCCAGGGCTGCAGTAACATCAGGCGAGAAGACCTGAATTGCCCTTGCGACATTCATTTTTTCTATGTTATTCGGATAGACATGTTTTCAGCTGAGGTAGCGGACAGGCTTTACAACCAGGTCCTTCTGTAGGTCGTAGAGCTTTTTGATGTAGCAGGATGAGACCTCTCCTTTCGGACCAATGTCGTGGGCCAGAAACTGCGAGCGCACGTTTTTTAAAACATGGCATGCATCAACACTTAAAAAGAGGAAACTGTCGCAGTCACAGGGATGTGCTATCCGGTACGTAAGAAGACCATCGCCCAAAAGTGTCATGGCATTGACGTTCACTCTGTGATTATCACTCACTAAACGAACTACCCTAAAACCACAGGCTTCTACTTTTTCAAGCACAAAAATCAACAACTTGTGAAGCTGTGGGCCTGTTAAAACCTTGGTAAAATAGTAGGCCTTTGGAATGCGATACGACGTCGAGAGTCCTGTCATTAGGAAGCAGAGAAGAGAGTTTTCTAAGGTGAGGTCCCCACCATGTTGTTCCAAAGAGACATCGGCGTGCCCCACAAAGCAGTCCTGCTGTTTGTTGTACTGCAGCTTTTCCCTGATCTTCATTTCGTCGACTATGAGTGAACACACCCTTGACTGTGGTACAGTCAAGCTTTCGGCTTCTACTCTGAGGCGAGCTTCGGCGAGTTTGCTGAAGCCCGTTTCTCCACTGGTGGTTCCCAAGTAGTTGCTCAGAGTCTTTCTGCAAGGAAGCTTCAAAAGCATTTCACCGCGGATGTGTTCGTACGCCCTTGTCGACAAATGCCTTAAAACTACACAA